CTGCCGGCTGCCATCTTGGCTGACAGTTAATTTGCATAAGGATATGCTGATTAGCCAATGGGAAGGGTAGCGGTCGTACGCTAATTACCATGTTTCTCTTTTATTAGTGTAGATACCCCAGATGAGCCTCTGGAACAAATGCCTCAGCACAGTGTTAATACAACCAATCACTTATAACTTACATGCAAGCCAGAGTGGCCACAAAGTACAAGCTGCCTCCCAAGATCTTTCAGAAATATAATATTTTATAAAAAGAAGAAAATGTTAATTCTGCTCTGTGTGTGTACAATTTCCACTAGCAAGGGAAAAGTTATCCAAAAACAAGCTCATGGTTCAGTTACTTTCCAGGTACTGCCATGTGAAAGGAAAGCCAAAATAAATTTCAACCCCTTTTCCCCAAAGTTCAGGCTTTTGAAATACCCTGACCTGACCAGCTTTAAAACTGGCGTATCCAAGTTTCAATTCCAAAGAACTGTTTTTTTAAAACCAAAGAAACAGAATTTCCGGAGGGTGAGGCCCAGAAATCAGGATTTTAAAAAGATTCCCAGGTGATTCTAATGTGTAACCAAGGTTGAGAACCACTGCTCTAAATAAAAACTGTGACAGAGTATTTATCCTAATTATTATACCCAGTGCAGGTGGCAGCCAAACAGGACTGGCTTCGTACCACGCCTGCAAACTGTTGAGAAGAACAAATAAGGCAGAAAGGATCTACTTCTTAAGAAGCACTGTCAAAAATGGGAAGAAGCATTATGTATTTGAAAGTAGATAAGAGAGCAAATCTTAAAAGTTCTCATCACAAGAAAAAAGTTTTGTAACTGTATGGGATGATGTATGTTAACTAGACTTATTATGGTGATCATTTAGCAATATACACAAAGATCATCAGATCATTATGCTGTACACCTGAAACTAATATATATGTCAATTATACCTCAATAAAAAAAAATAAGAGTGGTAAAATGGGGGTGTGGGGAGGAAGAGAGAAAGAAAGAGCAGGGTAGCCCTGGATAGAAACAAAGACACAAGACACATTCTGGAAACACAAGGAAAGTGTAGGCACAAAGAGACAGCACAATCAGCCAGAAGAAAAGCTGACAGAAGTGAACAGAAAAAACAGCAAGGGGGGAAATCTACCCCATGTCAAAGAGCAGGCTGGAGAGTGGGGGAAAGCAATTAAACACCAATGACAGATGGAGATAAGGGCATCCAAGGCAAAGCGTCCATCCGTAAGACACTTGAAACCGAGGACTGCCAGGAGGTGACTGGGCGAGCAGCAACAGACCAGGAGCAGGAAGGGCAGCATGTCAGAGGGAAAACAAAGGGTCTTAGAATGAGGAGGAAGCTGCCAAAGTTAGGGGGCAGGAGGGTGGACTATTAGGGGGCAGGAGGGGTGTGTGTGAGGAACAGGACAATGGCTGCACAAGGAGTATTAGAAAAGCCCTAAAAACAGGAGGGCCTCTACTGCACCCCCAAAGCTCATCACCTCTTAGAGGTTTCTAACCTCTACTGAGCACAATGTTGAAGGGACAGTATAGTCACCATTACCAAAGGGTGTTGGCTCATGTTTCAACTGTCCCCCTTGTGGAAAAGACAAGAGTAAACTCTGACCATCCATCTATAGCTGACATTCACCAAGAACTGTGTAGCATTCCAAACTATTAATCAGGAATAAACACTTTGATGAAATAAATGTGAGGTCATCTTCTGAAAGGTGCTGGCTGGATAATGGATCCAATAGCCATTGTTGGTCCTCTATGAGTATGTGTGTGTGTACGCCTGTGTGATGGGAAGGAGGGGTCCATGTGTTAGAAAGCTGGCAGTTGCACTTGGAGAGCCAAGACTTAAAGACATAACATGATTAATGAATGAACAAGTAAAATGCACAAGAAGTATAATAAGAAACAGTTATCTCAGGGAAAGAGCCCAGTGAGGACCACTGTAGTCCACACGCACAGTGAAGCTCAGCAAGGAAGTGACTGAACTTCTCTAGATTTGTTTAAGTTGATCCTTCCAAGACTCTGGCCGAGAGAGTGCTGAGTTTTGAGTCAGACTTACATTCTAATCCTAGCCCAGGCAAGGTGCTCAGGTGCCAAGCCTCAGTTTCCTCTTCGGCAAAATAGAGCCGCGAGGGTCATCAACCCTGAGAGCCTAACAGAGTTCTTGAGTCTCAAATGAAAATGCCAGTAAAACCAATGAAAGCTGAAACATTGTGAAAATCTAATGTCACTGTGCAAAACAGATGAGGTAAAAGATACACGAATGTGTAAATGGAGCCCAGAAGGGATTAAAGGGTTTAAAATTGTGGGTCTAACTCAGCAACTGTGAGTAGCTGGGGATCTGAAGCAACAGCAGTTTCCAGTTCAAGAGCCTCTAAGAATTAGCTGAGACTCAGAGTTAGAGGGTCTTACACATGTCCAAGTGATTATGACTTATTTTATAACCTCTTCTAAAACAAAGGGATTGAAGCTGAGAATTCCAATAAAGCTCTATGATTTATGCTGTATCTTCTAGAGATCATTTATTCACCTTCATTCACACTAATTAGAAGGGCAAAATACATTAGAGAGCTGGGCAGGAGTTCTGGGACAGGGAGGCTGAGGTAGAGACCGGGGTCTCCATGCAAAACACAAAGCCTTCTCTTTTCAGTACAGGTACTCACAATTTGATAAACCACATAATGCTTCTTCTCTCTTCCTGTACCCAGACTCTCCTCGATTTTTACTGATATGTCAACTTGTTACTCAGACTTTATTTGAGCTGACAAGATTACACTACCAAAGTTATTACCAAAAAAAAGTGCCTGAAGAGGTAATTGCACACAAAGGTGCTGCCTCTGTGTCAGCCCTCCGGTGGTATTCATTTAAGTCTGTTGTTTGTCAGCTGTGAGTCCTTCTGGGGCTAGGCCTAAGCCCTTACTTATCTACAGAGTTCTTCAGGCCTGCAGCACTGTACACACTCAGCAAAAGATTCTCTGAATTAAACCAAGAGCCAAATCACCTTGGATAAGTGAAAACTGCTTAGAAACTCGAGTTTTCATATGGATAAGACAAGGGGTGTGGACAAAGTACCTTCTAAACTTCGACTCTAACCAACGCAAAATAACCTAATCTTCTGAAAACAAAAAAGCAAGGTCTAGACCAGGGGTGGGCAAACTGGGTCACAATGGGTTCTTAAACTGGACCGGAGGGCCGGAACAAAAGCATGGATGGAGTGTTTGTGTGAACTAATATAAATTCAAAGTAATCATCATTACATAAAAGGGTACGGTCTTTTTTTTTTTTTTTAGTTTTATTCATTTCAAACGGGCCGGATCCGGCCCGCGGGCCGTAGTTTGCCCACGGCTGGTCTAGACACACATTGTAACTTTTATACATTTCATGCAATAGAAAAATGTATATAACTAAACCTGATTCATATGGCCATTTAAAGAAACACACACCTTAATTTCAATATTAGACCCACTCCTTGATTAGTCAACGATATACAAAAGCAGCCTAGCTTTTAAGTAAGGGAAAACTATACATATTGGTTATCCTTAAAAAATGTATTCAGAATCATGTTAATTCTGACATTTATTTTTAAACTTTCTCCCCTGACAGACTGTATCTAGAATACCATTGACATAACAAAAACAAACAGACTATGTAAAATGGCTACAGTTTAACAAAGGTGTTTGGATTTTTACCTTCTTTGGTTACTGCACAAAAGCAGCAAATGCAAGTACAGTTGCCACAGCAGCTGGCAAGTTCTTCCATATGGGAAGAAGTTTGTGGAACAGCTGGGGAATGCAAGATGCTCTTGAACAAGCTGCCTGTTCATCTTCCTAGAATGGAAGAGACAGCCCAGGGCAGGTTTGGTGCATGCCCTGCAGCTGCTTTCTTCCCAGTGGGAGCTCAACAAGTACCTACAAATGAAGTGAGATGCACAAAAGCAGGGACCTCGCTCCTAACCCTTTGCATACTGTCATTTGGTTACTCACCAGATCATTTTCCAGTATGGTAGAAAGCTACACTTTGTATCCAAGTGTAAAACTGATATAGGCTTTAAATGGCAACCCCTCCCTGTGCTCCAGCGCTATGCACTTCTTGGTGACAACTTTCATGATCCGATGGTGTTTAAGGACATTATAACATTTGCAGTACTTTAGCCCATGCTTGTTTAAAAGATAAATGCAAAAATAAAATCAAGAATTATGAAACAGCAGTGGAAAAGGTCTTTCACAAACAACTTGACATATTAAAAGAAACCCATTTTTCCACCTGTATTTGCTAAATGGAAAAGCGTTCCAGTTCGTAACACATGAAATAGCTATACTGGTTGTTGACTAGTTTCGCTTAACTGAACATATGTTGTGTCTTTTTGGCACCTTCCAAAAGTTAGTTTAGCAATTTTCAGATTGCACATAGTTTACCTTGTTTGAGCAAATGTTTTTGAAATATTATCTCAAACACTCCTCCCTTCGCTATCAATCTGGTGGCTCACCTTTAAACCAAGACTGTGCCAGCATAATTTTCACAGAAGCTGATAATTTTCTTTAATTAGTGTTATAAATGGCTAGTAAATGAACAAAGAGAATACTTGCTTCCTTTTCTCCAGTTTGTTTGATTTGTTTGTTTGTTTGTTTGTTTTTTAAGTCCTATCATCTTGGTCATTAGAATACTGGCTTAAAATTTAAAGGAAAGAGAAATGACTGCAGGGGTGGCCACAAAATGACACAGTTGTAAAACTCAAAGGAGAGTTCTACAGTTCCTTGTAAATTCCTTGGGCAACTAGACAAAGTTTTCCATCAGTGCCAACCCACCCCCATCACCACCACCACTTGCTGAGAGAAAGAATCACTAACTGCACTACACCGCAGTGTTAATAAAAAAGAAAAGGGAGTTCAAGACAAGGGTCCACCATTTCACTTTTTTGGCTGAGGGAAGGAAGAAAAAGATTCTGTTTATAAACACTATGGTTATTAGTGAAAATGTGTTGTGCAGCTACACAGCTTGAAACCAGAAGTTATTATATCATCTCTATCTTAGAAGAGCAAACTGAAGCTCAGAGAGGCTGAGCAATTTGCCCAACATGACAGAGCTATAAATGGTGCAGGTGGCATTTGTAGCTGGCCGTTCAGACTTCAGAGGCTTGCCCTCAGTCACCATGCCTCGCCACCTCCACAACTGATGACACTGCACTAGGACATTCTGAGTCACAGACTCATTCCAGACTTCAGACAACATATTTCCTTAAACATTCCACCTTAAGTACACGCAAGACAATACCAACATCCCATACCATATACTTGAGCTTGATAATGGATAAAGGTGTGTGAATAACACCATGTTCTTAGAAGCCTAAAAGGATTTTTGGAGTTTTAACTCACCAGGCAGTTAAGGTTGGCCATATTTCCAAGGCAAATGTCACTTAATTTTAAACACATATTGAGGAGATGGCAAAGTCACACAGTTATAACAGGGTGGGAACTACAGCCCCTTGGGGCAGGGAAGGCAACAGAGCTCAGTGCTTGCAGAGTTCCAACCCCAGGCCCACCTGCCAAGGGGACACCACATAAAGTAACGGACAGCTACTGCTGACTCTCCTTGCAGTTGTCAGGTAATTCTAAGGTTTTAATTGTCTTCATATACCCTAAGCATTAAACTAAGATTGTTTTAGTTGAGGCAGCGGCCCTAACAAAAGCAAGCAATATGTGAAAAGTCAATCTAACCCTAATGCCTAATATCAAACCAAACCTACGGTAACAGCATATACCCCGACTCTTCAATCAGCAATCCACAAAAATACTCTTCAGGAACACCCTTGGGCAAAGACTGGGGTGAGCAAATAGGAAGTACTCTTTGGAGGAGGACAGACTCTGGATCCTATAAACATCTTTAAACCTGTTTCCTCAGAACCTCTTTGGAGGAAACTGTGAGGTTTAAGGAAGAAAGATGAAGAGCCTTCCAAAGTGTACTAGTAAGATCCTCTTCTACTTTAGGCTCTTCAGACAAACCAGTTTCTGCACTTTCCCTACCACAGGAGAAGGGAGTGGCAGCAGATAAAACAAATGAATTCTATCCATTGATACTGAGGGATCATGTTTCACACCTGAGCAGAGGACCCTGGGTTTCCCTTCAGCAGCACCTCCTCCTCTGCGTCCAGCTCCGTGATGTCTGGCGTGTGGTGGAGAGGAGAGACTGCCCCTGCCATTTCAGTGGCAGTACTTGTGCATGTGCTGGGGGTTGTACAGTTACCCCCAAACTCGTGGAAAACAAGGAGCTCTCCTAATTTCCCCTGCTGTCCTCTCCCTTCTTGGGAACTTCCAATGGCAATAAACGGTCAGACTTCACCAGAGCTGTCATGCCTGCGCCAGAAGCGCTTAACCCCGCACCTGACCCAGATTGCGGCCTGGACTGGAGCCTCCCAGCCGCTAACTCACAGTAATGCAATTACCGCCTCCTGGAGCTCCGCTCAGGGTGCCTGGGGCTGCTGGCAGTCACCAGGGACTAAACGACTCCCTTCGACTCCCTTCGGGGAGCCCGCACGCGTCCAGAATCTGCAGGGAGGGGTGTGGACCGCGGGACGGCTGGGCCCGCGGCGCTGGGAGTTCAAAATCGCGCGCGACCCTGGGACTTGGAGGAGAGATACCGGGGCCACGGCGGCTCTCGCCACTCGCCCGGAAAGGAAACGGGCGATGTCGCAGTTCTGAACACACGCACGCCTAGCTGCCCCCGGTCCCACCCCTCCTCCCTGCGTAACGGGCTGCGGGGCTAACTTCCCGAAACTCGGCGGAGGGAAACCCTGGCCCG